AGAACTTGGGGAGAGAGGGCAGGCTCTACAATGTTTTGCCTTCTTGCACCAGGCTTTCAGTAGAGCTCTGAACATTTTAGAAAAGTGGGCAAGTCTGACCCCATTTTGAATAATGACTGGGATAAAGAAGTAAAATGACCTCTCCATGGAGTCCCGGCGCTCCTGTTGTTAAAATTGGGAGCAAATCCACGTGCCTCTTTCCCTGCTTTGTTCTTGAAGTCCTTAGAAGAAACTGGTGTCTCAGGAGAGCACAAAATTTATACTTTTTACTGAGTTTGTTGCTCACATGACCTGCCTCCTCATGCTGATGGCTTCCATCTTATTAAGGGAGGTCTTGTGGTGTGGTGCTTAAAAGGCAATTTGTGCTTCTTCTACTTGTATCTATTTTGTAATTATATAAGGATCTTCAGACTCCAGAGAAACTATTCCAGCACCTTTTCTCTGCAGTAAATTGTGACCAAATAACAAAATGCTTTAAACTCCCAAAGACTGTAACTAAATACAGGCAGCATTCCCCTACTTTCTGAATTACTGCAAGGGAGCCAAATTCTCTGTGGTGGCTCAGGAGATCAAGGGCACTTACTCATAAGTGAACACGCATGCTTACTACACTGTAGGTGCATTGTAATGGGAGTAGGGCTGTCCACATGTTGAGATGGTGAATGCCTAAAACTAAGCCAAATAGTCCCTGTGCCTGAAATCCCTTCCTTGAAAGCATAGAGTCATTTCATAGTATAGGCGTAAAGCATATTGGCTTTTTTGTGTGTCTTGAACGCCAAATGAATGTCTGTATTTACAAAGGACCACGAAACAAACTCTGAGAGTGGAACTCCACTGTTAGGGAGCTACCACTGCCAAGTGCACAGAGCCTAACAAGGTCTGTTATTGAGGTCCAGCACAGGGTAGCTGTTGTGAAGAGCTGTCATCATTTGATGTCTCTTAACAGCTTTTAAGTTCTGTAGTAAACATGGTGACTACTTTAAAACCAGAGCAGCAGTGGGGTGCCAAATGTAGGTTCCCCTTGGAGATCTTGGGGAGTAACAACATTTCTGACTGTTAGCTGGATCTGAGAGGCAGGACAGCTGTTCAGTGCACTTCTGAGTTAGCCCACCATCTCCTACCATGACACCCCGGCTTCATTTCTTTGTAATTTTGACTCATGTTTGATCTCTCGTGCTGCTGTAAAGTGTGTTTTAGAAAGTTTCAGTGAAAATGCAAAACAAAGAAAGCCGGTTGTATTATCCATGATAAAAAACATTCTGGAGTTTCTTCTGAGAAGCCCTAGGACCTCTGTGGCTCAGCTGGAAAAGTGGAAATTCGGAAGCGCATCCTATGCATTGGGAATGCTCTTTTACCACCTTGAAGTACATGTGGCCATGTTGTAGCCCTCCGAAAAAAAACCACATTAATTTAGTGAAAGCTCCTTTATCAGCAAAAGCCTTCATCACTGATCATAGTCCAACTCCTGTGCATGACTGGACATCGAGTATACATCCCTTACCAAGCAACCAAAGGTACCCCGCCTCCCTCCAGCTCCCATGTTCCCCCAGAGTTCACACCCCGCTGTCTGAGCAGGCTCGTGCTCAGAGGCTATGAGGGCAAAGACAGACCTTCCCTCAATGCCTGCTCAGCCAGGAGATTGGGAAAGGGCACTGGGATGGGGCGACACAAAGCAACAGTCAGGAGGAAGCTTCCCTGCTTTGTTCTGGTTGGTTTTACTGTTGGCTGGTGGGTAAAGAGCAGGAGGAAGCTGGTGTGGGTGCTGAGGGGAGAGCATAACCCTCCAGGAGAAAATCTGGGTTGAAGAGCTTGGAGAAACACAAAATCAGTGACTACGAGCCAGGATGTGGAGGAAGGACTTGCTGAGCCAGAAAGCTGACGTGGGTGAGAGGAGGCCTGGGATTAGCTGGGCAAAGAGGAGGGAAGATGGAGTGTTGCTGAGGATGGTGGGGACCAGGTGAAGCAGAGCTGAAAGGACTTGGGGTGTGGAGGGGGAAGGAGGAGGGAATAGATGGATGGTGACAGAACTGGTGGGAGCAGGAACGGCGAGCCAAGGAGAGCGCAGGGCAGCTGATGTCATATGGAAAGACAGAAGTTGGATTTTGGTTTCAGCAGAGGAGAAGTAATGAGGCATGGATGGGGGAGAAGAGGTGGGAGGAGAGAGAAGGAAGAGAAAATAAGTAGCAGAAGTAAGAACTGTAACATCTAACTGTGTAAGCCTAGCTCTGACTGTAATGTGGGTGCGAAGAGACCCAATGAAGGTTGAGTGAGCAACCAGCCTTCTGGTTCTTCCAAATTCTTGGGAATGACTCCTTACCCATAAAGCTGCCCATCTGAGGCACGTTCAGGTGCACACATGCGCCATGTAGAACGTCAGTGAATACAAGTTACATGAACACCAATTACATGAGCATAGACTGCAGTCTTCCAAGAGGTCATACAAAGTGAAGGTTGAAGCTCCAGCACCATTTTTTTTTCTCCTCTTACATTTGATGTCATGTTTATCCAAGAATATCAGCATAAATCCTGTTTACTGCAGGGTCTTTGAGACGAGTTGAATCATTTGGGATGAACTGTCTGCGAAACCGGAATATCTGGAAGATTTTAGCCCCCACAGTTAGGGAGGCAAAGCTGCTGTGGTTTGTCTCTGAAATAAGGGTCTTCAGGATTTATTTTCCTCAAAAAAAAAAAAAAGCTTTCATTCAGCTTTTCAGAGTTAAATCCAACAGTCTGCAGCAGTGACTTGTTACAATCTCAAATTTTACATATAGGAACTAGAAAAAAAAAAAAATTACAAGTCCTTAGAGGACAGTGGGAAGATATGGGGAAGACTGAAGGCACTTCAAAATCAGGGCTCCTCTTATGAAGTGGCCAGTTCTATGGAGCCAAGGTTTAGCGTTTGAGCGTACGGTTTTGTTTTACTCTCCTTGGGCCCCATGTCTGCCAAGGATCATCCTTTCTGACGAAGATAAATTGCCTCTGCCCACCGTAGCTTAAGATTTTAGTTCCAGCTGGGATTTACTGGTAACGCTGAGATACAAAATCATCTGAATGTGTTGCAGTTAACTTCAGTTGTATAAATCCAAGCATTAGCTGGATACTATAAATAGGCAGGATGTGCAAAGAGGCCAAGTTGAAAATGTGTAGGAACCGTGCCTTTTTCTTTAATGCAGCCCTGAAGTTGTGCTATGTTTCATCATGTATAATATTTTTCATCTGAAAAGGAAATGATGTGCATGTGCTTTGTGGCTGTAGTAATTAACTGGACATAATGAAGCTCTGGGTTTCACACTTTGGAGAAGTGGATGGAGGAGGATGGGTAAGTTTTTCTCAAGTCTTCTTGCTTTTAGTGCTTTCTTGGAGGTAGTTTTTGACAAGATTGGGTAGAGAGCAGGAATACATCTGGTTTATATTATATGATGGCTGTACTTTGGCAATGGAAAAAGATGGCACTTAAAAAAAAAAAAAAAAAGAAGAATAAAAAAAGAAAAGCTTGGCAGCTACAGAATGGAGCAACAATTACAAGAACTATCTTAAAATTCCCAGGATTTGCAATTTATTTTTCCATGCTTGCATTTTTCTGATGTTGCTGATGTTAAAGGAGACAGAGGAAATTCAGTAGGATTTTACAAAGTACAGCTATCTCTGTGAAACAATCTCCTTTATTCAGGTTGCCCCCACAGCAGCTGCTGCGATTAACATGTGGGTGGTAACGAAAGGGATAGGAAGCAGGACTCGTATGTTCACTTAAAAAAAAAAAAAAGTGATACGTCATAATTTTTTTCCTGCTGTTCTCTTCAGCCGGTGACCATGAAGTAATGAAGGTGGTCTCCCGCTTAACTGCAATTATCTATGGGTATAAGACAGAAGTAAAATTAACGCAGATGTTTTCCGGAAACAGAGCCATGTGAGGCGTCCTTGTGGTGCGGGAGAGGAAAAATTATTCAAGGAGTGCAACGGTACCTAGGGATGTGTCACCTACTGCGGTTTTCTTTTTTTTTTTTTTTTTTTTT